TAAATGCCCAAAATTTCAGAAATTAAACTTATAACCTAAATATGTATTTTAGTATATAATTACATACAGCCCCACAAAAAAAAATTGTCATGTACTTTTGACCGAAATACCCTAGCCGATGTCCGTTTTGCTCCATCACGTCAGGATTTTTTTCTAACCACAAAAAACATGTCGGATTTTGAGAGGTAGGCGATTTTTTTTAAAAATTGATGGATTTACTTCAAAGTTGATGTCTGGGGGTTTTTTTGGGTCGCTAATTACGAATCTGAAGTTAGATTTTCAAAATTCAAAATGGCTGATCCAATATGGCGGACGAATTTTGAAAAAATTTTCAGATTTACTTCAAACTTGGTAACTAGGGGTTTTTTTTTGGGTCGCTAATTACGCGAATCCGAAGTTAAATTTTCAAAATTTAAAATGGCGGCTCCAATATGGCGGATGAATTTTTAAAAGATATTAAGATTTACATAAAATTTGGTATAAGAGAATAAAATGCAGAATGGAACAATGCACTTTCTTATTCGGCTTCAGCACCAAACATATCCAATCTGTAACCAAGAGGAATATTTTATGAAAAAATTTTAATAGATGCCATATTTAAAAATGTGAGAAATCCGCTTCGAAAACACACTCAGCAACTTAGAATACCTGTAGATATCACATTTAATAAAAATCTGACAAATTTTTTAAAATAATTCCTTAATATTGAATCAGACATATACCGAATTTCGAAAATCTGACGTCAGATTTGCAATCAGCGACCCAAAAAAAACCCCTAGATATACTCAGTTTCATAAAAAACATTAAATTTTCTTTTATAAAGTCCGCCATGTTGAATCCGCCATTTTGAATTTTGAAAATCTAACATCAGATTCGTAATCAGTTAGCCAAAAAACCCCCATATATCAAGTTTGAAGTAAATCCATCAGTTTTTAAAAAAATCGCCTACTATCGGTTCAAAATGTAAAGATCCCTGTTTTTGAAAGCTCATAACTTGGATAAAAAAAAATCGTACGTTATTAAGACAAAATGAAATAAGTAGCTACACTATTCTTAAGTTTCTATACAAAATTGCATATAACCAAAAAATTTTTTGTATTTGTTACAGATTTTTAAAGACTAAAAATACATGGTTTTTTGCATGGTTTTGACAAAGGGCAACTTTGAAAGCTTGTATAGCTTATTCAATTTATATGATATCTTTAAGCCAATTTTTTTTAATAATATTTGATTCCTTCTTAAACATATTGTATAAATAAAAAGTCATTATTTTATTAACATTACGCTGTTAATTAAAACAAAGATAAAAAGCTATCTCTATCAAAAATAAACGCACAGATTTGAGACAAAATTTAAATTATGTAAAATATGAAATTGGAAAAATTCTTCCGCCATATTGGAGCCGCCATTTTAAATTTTGAAAATTTAACTTCAGATTCGTAATCAGCGACACAAAAAACCCCCAAATATTAAGTTTGAAGTTAATACATCAATTTTTAAAAAAATTGCGTACACTTCTTAAAATCCGACATGTTTTTTGTGGTTAGAAAAAAATCCTGACGTGATGGAGCAAAACGGACTTAGAATTCGTGTTCAGCGCGTCAAAATACATAGGGTTAGGGTATTCCGGTCAAAAGTACATGACAATTTTTTTTTGTGGAGCTGTGTTTATCCCTTTTGATAAAAAAGATTCTTTCTTTGGGTCCCTTTTGTATGGAAAAGAAGGGAAAAAAACGTTTTTAATTTTAGATCACAGGTGCAATTATGTAATTTCATTTTGACTTTCACATCGACATTGACTTTCATTTTCACTTTCACATTAATTTTTACTGAAATTCTATTTTTATTGAAATTTTAATTTTTTAATGAGTTTTGTTAATAGTAAAAGTGAAAGTGAAAATCAAAGGAAAAATGAAAGTCATTTAATCATTAATCATTATAAGGTCCTCTAAAAAATACACTTTGATGAAAAAATAGAAAATATTTGAAATTAAATGAATTTTGTTTTTCTTGAGATTTCTCATACATATCCTTTCTCACACAGGTTGCTATATATATATGTATAATATATATAAAAGGAGGGTTCTGGAATGTACACGGGGGAATTTTAATGCGTTCTAAATTGCGGGTGAGAGAGATCACCTTTAATTGATTGACAAAAACGTTCAAAGAAAATCAGAGGGTTTATAGATAAGCTTCCTTGTGCCCTTTTTTTTGACATTTGGTTTATAAACCCAAACTCTCACACTATATGTATCCCTCTTTCTCTCATGCTACCTGCGCGCCTTTGCGACATCGTGACAAATCGAATTTTAATGCGAGAGCGCCGGCGCATTGGAAAAATCATTTATACATGTGTGTGTGTGTGTGTGTGTTGCGCCTTGAAGAAAACAATTTTTTGTCGCGTTTCGATTCTTCGCTCTACAAATTTCAATTGGATAGTGTTATACGCAAATCAATTTAGTTCCAGTGCGACAAAAAAAAATTACTAATTGAATGCATCATTCTTCTTCGTGGCTTGTTTATGCAATTTTTATCTATTTATAGGAATTACAATTTTTTTTTATTATTTTCAATACATTGTACATTTCTATTTATTTAAATTACATTCAGAGAAAAAGTTAATTTTACTTAAGGAAACCGTTTAATTAATTTGATACAATTAAAAAGTTTAGTTAATTCAAATAAAAATTTGGTTCATTTCAATAAAATGCATCTTTTATCTTTTTTCTGTGGTATTTTGGCAAATGGAAATTTAATTCGAAGCTTATTTGCAGCTATTATTGTAACTAACATAATAAAATTTATATTGAAATAAATAATTTTTATACATAATTTTTAAGAAAAATAGATAACACAGCAACACAAAAAAAAGTGCCTGCGGGTTGGGAGATCAAAGTGCCCTAACCTCCATGTATTTTGAGCCGCTCAACACGAATCTGTAGTCCGTTTTGCTCCTGCACGTGTACGTTTCTTCCTAAACTCAAAAAACATTTCCAATTTTTGGTAGTATATATGATTTTTTTTTTAAAATTGATGGATTTATATAAAATTAAGTATTTAGGGTTTTTTTTTGGTCGCTTATTACGAATCTGAAGTCAGATTTTTTAAATTCAAAATGGCGGATCCACTATTGAGGACGAATTTTTTAAAAATTGTTGAATTTTAATGAAACTTGAAATAAACGTATAAGAAGTATAAGAATACACTACCGTCATGTTGAATTATAAAAATCTGACTTCAAATTATCAATCAGCAACCACAAAAAAACCCTCGGTATCAAGTTTCATAAAAATCCAACAATTTTTTAAAAATTTATCCTCCATATTGGATCTGCAATTTTGAATTTTCAATATTTGACTTCAGATTCGTAATCAGCGACCTCAAAAACCTCTAAATACAAAGTTTCATATAAATCCATCAATTTAAAAAAAAAATCGTATACCACCAAAAATATGAAATGTTTTTTGAGGTTAGGAAGAAACGTACACGTGCAGGAGCAAAACGGACTACAGATTTGTGTTCAGCGACCTAAAATACATGGGGGAAAAGGTACCTTGATCTCCCAACCCAGGCACTTTTGTTTTATGTGACTGTGTAATGAAATATTAAATTAAGATAGATAATAAATTCACTTTTTAGTCATTTTTTCCTTATATTATTCTAAATCTAAAATAATTATAAAATATTAGATTTGTTTATTGAAATTAGTTTGTAAACAGTTTTCTTTTTATTGCAGTGTTTTACTTTTAAAACTAAATTTAAATGAATTTAAATTTCCCGCTTCATTTGTTAACGAAAACTGCTGAAGTCAAATGTAGGAATATTTTTGTAGTTACTCAACGACTCGTTTAGTGCTCTGCCTTCACTTTTACTTCAGAGTTGCCAATGACCCTACCTAAACGCTACTGCGCTTGCGCTACGACAACTCTCTTATAGGTCGAAAAAAGCGCGCTTATATAAAATGCTTAATAATAAGAAAACGTTAATAAAGCAATATAAAACTATTTTCACTATTGAATTTATTTTTTTTTGTTAATTATATTGCTTCTTAATAAAAAAATATTAATTTACTTAAGATACTTAAGTATGTAAAAATAATAATAATAATAATAATTATAATATTAATAATTTTATTATATTTATATCATTATTGTTATTACTTTTTTATAAAATATATAATCTATTATTATTATTATTATCAATATAATCTATTATTATTATTATCAATTTAATATTTATTAATTAATTATGTAATATATTATTTATTTTTGTTATTATCATTAAATTGTTATTTAATAATTGTCTATGATATATGACATATATATTTTTTAAAAACTTTAGCAAAATTTTTTTGTACTTTTTTATGAGGAAAATTTGAATTGGGGAAAAAGTACAAAAAAAATTCGATTCATTTTTTTGAAATATATAGATGTAATACATTCATAGATATTTAATAATAATTTATTAAAAATAATGATAATAATAATAAATATTATATTGATGATAATAATAATAGATTATGAATATTTTATTAAAAAATAATTACAACAATGATATAAATAAAATAAAATTATTATTATTATTATTATTATTATTATTATTATTATATACTTAAGTATATTAAGGAAATTAGTATTTTTTTTATTAGGAAGCAATATAATTAACAAAAAAAAAAATTCAATAGTAAAAATATTTTTATATTGCTTTATTAAAGTTTTCTTATTATTAAGCATTTTATATAAGCGCGCGTTTTTCGACCTATAAGAGAGTTGTCGTAACGCAAGCGCAGTAGCGTTTAGGTAGGGTCATTGGCAACTCTGTTTTACTTGCGTTTTACACCTGTGGTTGGCAGTTGTTAGCAATTCGGTTGGCAACACTGTAAAGCACGTTCATGCTCGTCAAGAAATGTCGTGATAAAACGTGGTCATTTGTGTTTATGTTCTTATACATTTTATATAATTATAAAATTTCTATATAAATTATAAATTATTTTGCAGAATGTTAAAAAAGTGCCATCGATTTGCGGAAGTTATTCATCTCATGGGGCTTTGAAGAATATGTATATCGTTTTGAATGTAAGTATAACAATTTAACCTATAAATTTTTTTTATTATTATTCCGCATAAAGAATATGTTTAATATAAGATTTATATCTCACTTGGTACAACAAGAAAGTTATATTAACGTTACAATAAACATATTTTTTTCAATGTGAATAATATTAAATAAATAATTGTGGTTGTAAGTATATTTTATTTATCGAATTACCTATTTTATTGGTAAGATGAATTTTATTAGTAAGGTTAACTTACTAAATGTTATCTGTTATAATATTTATTAGTTATTGTTACTAACAAAAGTATGTTCATCTTACTAATAAAATGGTAACTACAAACTATTTAACTTTTTACTATTATAAATGGTATCCCTGACTTTTAAATTAGCATAGCAGCATAGTTTACTAATCAAAATGGTATTTGTAACAATTTTATTAGTTGCCTCAACTGCTTTGTTCTCTCAATGTGGTTTTGATTAAGATTAAACTTTAGTCTAGTGCAATAAATCATTTGGTTGATTTAAATAAAAGTATTTAATTAATTATTTAGTTAAATTAACCAAACTTTTTTTTTAACTATATATAGTAAATGTATTTATTTGATTGAGTTATTTAGTCATTTTAGTTTAGATTGAGAAATTTAATTGTTTCAAACAAATTTTGGTTGCTCCAAACAAAATTTGGTTGTTTCAAAAAAAATTTCTTTTCATACAATGTCTTTTTGCATATTATTTTCAATATAAAAAAATAATTCACAAAAATAAAAATAGTAAAAAATAAAAAAGGTGAAATAAAATAGTAATTTTAGATAAATTTCCGTTGGATAAATATACATATGATTGCTATATAACGAGTCTATAGTAGGAAAATTACGCCATTAAAAGCCGACCAATTAAATTCTTTGATCAGTCGATATATCGAACGCAACTGTTGACGTAAAACGACCTAACCTCTATTTTTTCCTATTTAGAAAATCAATATTTTAAATTACTTTTCATATAATGCGAATTATATATTATTTGTTATTATTATTGTTATTATAATTATTTGTTACAATTAATTTAATTTTTTATCTATATCTTTGATTTTTGGACTTACGATTACTAAAATTTGTTTTCCTTTTTTTAAATTTTTATCTTTATAAATTATTTGAAAAAAAAAATTTTATGTCAGAAAGAAAAATTACAGTTATACAATATATTTTGTGTAAATTCTCAGAAGAATTAGACGCAGTATGGTGGCAAAAAAAGAAGATATAGTTATTTCTCAGATAATCGTGGGTTACGCGTCGAATGGAATTCGAGGACACGATGGCCAATAACAATCGATTGTTTTTTTAAGACAGGGACTCTCGAATCAAATTTCCATTCCTAATTGGACAGAAGTATACACATTTATATTTATATATAAATGTGTGTGTGTGTACACACATATACGTGAGAATAACAGATTTGAAGTCTGGTAACGATTCGCATATTATAAAAACGACACTATGTCACACTGGCCCGCGGTAATTTAAATCTCATTATATTGGACTGTGGTTTGCGGTTTTAATACAGTGGTTCTCATGATTGGCATTCTCAATATATATACAATTCCATTTCGTAATAATAAAAGAACAAAAATAACAAAACGTATTCAATTCTTAAATCAAACAAAATGACAAAAAAAATTTTTTTTTTTTAAATTTACATTCAAAATGAAAATAATTTACAGTTCTATAAATATACGGATATGTTTTCCATTTAATTAAAAATTATTTCTTGGAATGAAAAAAAAAAAAAAAAAATAAATGGAAATAATGAAAACCACGAATGAGACTATAACGATAGTTAGATTGTTAAATCTAGCGCGACGATATAACGCGTTTGATTTTTATTCCCTCGAGTTAGAAAAAAAAAGGAAACAAGAATTTAAAGGAATTGTATTTGATCGCGTCACCGACGACGACTTATTGCTCGATCGAACACTATTAAACAATGACTTCCTTTAGATATAATGTAACACGCTCAGTAAACTGCGCGGTTTAAAATTTTCAGGGATTTCCTTCTTCAATGATCCTTGACTATATTGTAGAATATATAAAAAAAAACATATTTTCTTCTTTTTTTGTAGAAAATTTTTAATTTTAATTAATTTAAAAAAAAAAATTTCATCATAATATTCAAATTAATTTAAAAAAATATTTTTTTTACTCTCCGGAAATAGTAAAAAAATATACACTATATATTTGGAGTAAATTTTACAATTTCAGGAGTAATTTTTTTTTATTTCCGGAAAAAAAGTTATTAGAAATGCAGAGAAATTTACGAACATTTTAAATTTTCCTTTGTAAGTATAGTAAAAGTTACGTATAGTATATATATGTTTTTCCATTATAGAGCACACTGAAAAAAATATTCTTGATTTAGTAGTAGGATTCCTCTTATTTTAATGCACATTTTCCTCTACAATATCACGTGAAAGGATTCCTCTTATTTTAAGAGGATTAAAATAAGAGGAAAATACTCTCCGATTGAGAGTAATATATTCTTGATTCCAGAAGATTTTCGCAAGAGGAATTTTCCTCTATTTTCGAGAATATTTTTTTTCGGTGCAGTATTGGAATCTATATATATATATATATATACAATATATCTGTAAAGTAAACAGTTATTGGAATTACAAAAAGCATTTATCGTAAAATTATATAATTTGGATAATGATTATTTTTTTTGTGGCATATATATATACATAATTGAGAAATCGCTCATATATTTAAATTGACCGAATAATTCGTTTTGGAGATGCGAGACATTATATACGAATCGGACAATATGTGTTTAGCTTGATGTTATATTGGCAATCAAGCACACAAAATATACGCGTGTATAACGACAAAATAAATTACGGTGCTTCTTGTTCGAGAGTATACGAAAATAATTCCTCTTATGGTTCCTTCTGCGGAATAAAAAAGTAAAAAGAAACGTGGGATTCACCTGACTCATAATCGTCGACATGAAAAATACATCAAATAATTGGAAATTTTTTTTTTTTAAAAAAAAAGAGTGTTACACGTGTTTATAATCATCCAAGGAAAATTTGGACCTTTTTTAATTAAAATCATAATATATCAAAAATTCTAAAAATTGGTGCTGTTAATATATTTAATATATATATTCGCCCTAATGCGCCCCAACTCTTGAATTTTTGAGATTATGTTTGTATTTTAGCTCTTGAGTTTTGAACTAATTTTAAGGTTATGTTTACTGATTTTAACTTTTTGATATAAAAACGCTATTTTTACCCAAAAAGTGGCCTAATTTTTAGGTTAGGTTTTGTCAATTTTAATCTCAAACCCAGTAGTATAGCGTTCTCTTGATATGTTATAGGATTTTGACATTGAACTTTGACCTAATTTTGAGGTTATGTCTAAACTACAGATCTAGCGGTTGCTTGACTTATATGACTTAGGTCCAAAATACAAACAAACCGAAAAACATAACCTAAAATTTAGGTGACAAATTAAGGTGAAGAAAGCATATATCCTCGCATAAATCGCATATGGTCAAATATTAAGGAGGTCAAGTAGCCTCTAAATTTGAGGTCAAAATCGGCTAACATAACCTCAAAATTAAAATAATTTATAGGTCAAGGGTCCGCTGGGTTTAAAATCGGCTAACATAACCTCCAAATTAAATCAATTTCTAAGTTAAGAGTTCGTTTGGTTTAATGTTAAAATCGGCTAACATAACCTCAAAATTAAATCAATTTCTAAGTTAAGAGGTCGTTCGGTTTGATGTTAAAATCGGCTAACATAACCTCAAAATTAAATCAATTTCTAAGTTAAGAGGTCGTTCGGTTTAATGTTAAAATCGGCTAACATAACCTCAAAAATTAAATCAATTTTTAAGTAAAAAAAAACCCGCTGGATTAGAGAATTTAAAATCAGCTAACATAACATCAAAATTAAATTAATTTCTAGGTCAAGGGTCCGCTGTGGGTTTTAGGTTTTAGGAACATAGATTCTTATAAAACAGTATCGACAGCGAAATTTTTTTTTGTAATATAGTAATTTTTTCGTATATAATTTTCTAATACCTAAATAAAAAAAAATGTGACCGTAATTTTTCCTCGTTATATATATATATATATATATATATATATATATATATGATTATTGTGAGTGATATTAAGTTACCAATTGGTATATATAATAAGTCCTTTTTCAATAGCGAATTTATATATACTAAAAGGGCGTCGCAAGGATAAGGGATGTGAGAGAGATGAGGAGGGGAGGGGGTATTAAATTACAGAGTAAGCGAATGAAAAATACTCTTCATAGAAGTGTCCGGCAAGCGATTTTTTTTTCATCGCGCGCACCACGACAAGAATTTGATCAGGACACGATGCGATGAGCAACAAGTGGCTCTATGGGAGAAATACGCACGGTGCGAGATCGGCGTATGTCAAGTCGAGGGAAATAAAAAAGTCACCCTCATATTCCTCGAGGGGTTCCGGACTAATAAAGGTCCTTGTGCGACAAGAACCATCTCCGCGGAGAAGGAAATATTATATATATATATATAAACAGCCAGAGAGAGAGAGAGAGAGAGACCGAAAAAACGCGGAAAATCATGAAGGAGGCTTAAACGATCTTCAAACGACAATACAAAAGGATTGGGATGGGGTGCTTTTATCTGCATTTTTTTTACTGGTTTACACATCACAAGAGATTAGAGTGAGGGAACAAGAGAATTTTTATGGAAATTCTATTTCTGACGGAAATTTATGTAACAAAACTTTCAATTCAGAAAATTTCCGACCAACGGAAGTATTTTATAGCAAAAATTTTCATTTGTCAGAATTTTTATTGGACAGAATTTTTTATCAATCAATTGTAGTATTTTATCGTTTAGGAAAATATATATATATATATATATATATATATATATATATATATAGCAGAACTTTTATTTGGCAGAATTTTTTAGGACAGAAATAGTATACTGGAGATTGGAAAAAATTCCAAACAGAGTT